AATTTTTAATAATTAATATCATTAATATTTTTTTTACTATTTTAATTATAAGCAAATTTTAATCAACATCTTCGCTTCTAGTAGTGAGCCATCTTTACAGTTGACTTATGTTTGGAGTAAGATATCAATTCATTTCTTGGGTAGTTTTTTATTAGAATTAATAGTATTATTTTTTTTCTTAATTGATGTAATTTAATTTGTTATAAGGTGATGTTATTTAGTATTTTCTTCTATATGTGATAGGTAAATTTGATGGTGTTTGTTCTTTATTATTTTTTTTTCTTCCACGCAAGAAATGTATAATTATATCAACACGTGAGCTGTTATAACATCGTGAGATAATGGATCCAATATCGGCCGTGTTATTATAATTGTCTTTTTTTCTCAAACCAAATTGGATTTCTTTATTTTTGCTAGTTGATCTAAAGAATAGACAAAAAAAAATGTTTACTTCTTAATAAATTATTTTTTTATATGATTTAAAACTATAATAACACGTATAAATTCTCGTCACGTTATCATATACACATAGTTATATAAATACGATACCTGAGAAAAAAAAATCAATGGCGCCTAAAGTTTATCCCAATTGTTGTACTTTATGCAACTAACTCAAGAGATATCATTGCCATACCTGCGACAAATTAATTTGTAGAACGTGTAAGCACATTTGTTTTTCTTGAAATTCACCACTAAGTCCATTAAAATACCCCGGTTCTCAACTTGATTATTTCTATCCCGATTCCATATCAACATTACCGATTAGAGATTTACTTGGCAGGTCATCTAGTGGTAATATAATAGATGAAACAAATGATAATGTAGAGGAGGTTCATTTATTCCGCACTCTGAACGCAATGAAGATGATTATGTTTCTGATCATAGTATAGAGCCAATTACCAAAGATGATTTTCAAAATAGTAAATTAAATATAGGCAAGTATGTGGTGAAAGAAGAGGGATTTCAGAGTAGAGTAACATTCGATCTTCGTGGTAGTGGGGTGTCTACGAAAGATTCTAAAAGTGATTATTCAAATGAAGTCAAAGCAAGTAACTCTCACTTTAGACACGTACAATCGAAAAAAAATCAACAATCGAAAAGAAGCAATCCAGGTAATGTTAAAATGATTGACAAAACACCTAAGGAAAATTCTTACGGGGCCGTTAATCAGACATTACCAGCTAACGATAATAATTTAATATATCTTCATAACTATTTTCATCTATCTTACCTGTTAAAAGTGGTTCATATGTTCCACCAATAATA